TGTTTACTATATGCTTAGGATGACTGATAAACTTTGTTTAATACATTTGATTCATGCTTAATCTTTTGATTATTTTGATTTTGTGGAAGCATTAGAAATGATCAAGGCATTTGTTGATATCAAGCACAACCATATCCCAAAAAAGTAACTTACCCGTGAGTAGTGAGAATTTGCTAACCCGTTTGAGCTTAATAGTTTAGATCCTAATTTAGTGATGAAATTGATGTATGTACTATTCAGAGGAGTGTTTACACTGCAAACTTAGATATTTCCTCAGGGGCGGTTTAACTATTCAGAGGCACTTCAGGTGCCATAATATGGTATTCGCTGTGCGAAGAAAGTGTTATCTAGACAAACTTGATAGATTTTGGAAGTACTATATATGTGCTTTTCACACTTTTTTGGGATCATAACCCCATTTTTCACATAAAAACCCTATTTTCTGCATTTCTTCACCAAAGAGTGATATTTTGCAAATAGAAGCTGGATTCGCATCCAAGATCGATTCTTGGACGTGGATGCTCATTCATCTTCTCCCATTACATGTAAAGTAAGCTACCATGGTTATGGGTAGCTAATTTCCTTTGTATCAAAGGTAGAGGTAGTCTACCTTAGCTTTATTTATTTCTTTTGATTGGCCTTGCATGTGAACAAGTGATGATTAATATATGGTGAATATTTTTTTTCTTAATGATCCATTCTTGTTTTGTAAAACTCTAGACATAGATTTTATGGAACTTGGCCTAAAATATTCATCTATCAATTTATGGATTGGAGAAATCACTCCATGGTTGATATTTGCTTTGAGTTGAACTTAAAGCTTACTATATTGGTTGTTGTATGGAGAAATCGTGTAGAGATGAATACGGTATTTCTCACGACACCGCTCTAGACATAGACGGTGTTGAGAGAATACACGATAATATTAATCGGATCCGATTTCACATGAGAGGTTAAAAGAATATGTATTAGTTAGGATAGATAAAAACTACTTTTGATATACTTTGTTAATCAAACAACTTTAGAATTTAAAGCTTAGCTACTAAATCGCGACAATTTATGAAACAAACTTTGAAAACCTTTTTATTGAAACGGTAAACTATTGAACGACAAGCATCCCATATCAGAAAAATCCATGTGAAGACGATAACAAAAAACCTCTATACTACATCTTAACAGTGACATGTTGGTGCAAAACTGGAGCTGATTTTATTTTGCGTTTTGGAAGATTTGATTTTATTAGTGAAGATTCTTTGAAGATTTGATTATAGTATATTACAATCTAAGAAGAGTGTATTTTTAGAAGTTCAAAGTTCGATTCCAGCTGTGCAATATTTCCTAAGAATGGTTGACATATAATTTAAGGAAACATGAGATTTGATGAGATTTGATTTGATTTGTTTCTATAGAAGATTTGATTTGGATCTGAACTTTAGGAAATAATATATTATGGATATGCATTTATTAGTATATTGATTTCTAGAATATTATGGATGTGCTATTTAATTTAGCCCGGTTTGCTATTCAAGTCCATACATTTTCGAAGGCTATTTATAAGAAGAATCTAAACCTAAAGTGCAAGGAGGGCAACCGTATTTTTGTGAGAGTTCTTTAGGTTTTCTTTTGTTTTATGTGGCTTGTGAGCTACAGTTGTATCACCTTAATACTAGAGCTGAACTGTTTTTAGTAGAGTTGTAAATATGAATTACTCATAAGGTTTTGAGCAAGAGTGCATTCTATTTCTTGAAGTGTGTCTTCTTCTTTGACTGTTTGTTTTATCACCACTGTAGTGTGATTGAGGGGGAGTGAGAGGTGTCTCTTATTTAAGAGTGTTTTAGATAGGAATTGCACAGATAGTGATTAGGTGCGAAGATTTTAAAGTGGAGGTTGTTTACTTAAGAGCTTCAAACTAATATTATTATAATGGATTTCCTTCTTGCCTTGGTAGTCCCCAGATGTAGGTGGCGTTGCACCGAAATGGGTTAACAACTTCCTTGTATTATTTACTTCCTACAATTTTGTTTAATTTGTTCATTGTTATTTATGCTATCACGACGTTTCGACATTGCATTTGACATTTTGGTGTCGTGATATCCTATACGACATCTGTCCGCTATGTGCTAGAATTTCATAAACTAAAAATTAATAAAATAAATTATAAATTTGTGATAAAAAATTATTATAAAAAAAATCTTTCATTATCGTATAAACTTATAAACTATAAATTATAAATTCAAAAAATGTGTTGCCAAATCCAGTTTAAGTCTCAAACAATATCATAAAATTTATAAAATAAATAAGCTCGAATTTATGAGTTTTCCTAAAGAATTTTTTTAATATATTTTATTTATAAATGTCTTTAACTATACTCTCATTTATTTTTCTAATAGTTTCATCGTAGAGTTTTGAATAAATAGGAGGTCTTACATTGGATCGTTGCTATATATATGGTATTTATTCCTATTAATTGATTTTAAATATTTTGTTAAATACATTATTTTGTTAGGTCAATTTAACGTTATTTAATTGGATACAATATTTTTCCCGTGTATATGTATAAACAACTTTATTAGTATATTAACTTTTGGATCATATGTTTCATGAGTAGTACTTATTTTATTTAATTTTAATAAATTATTAAAATTAACTTAAAAAAATATGAGATAGTTAAACTGATATGTATTAATTAAAACTCTTTTTCTGAAATGGTAAACTAGAATGGCAAGCATTCCATATTAGAACAATTTTTGTGGAGACGATAACAAAAACCCCCTTTACTACATCTTAACAATGACATGGTGGTGCAGTAACGAAGCAGATATTGTTTTGCATTTTGCAAGATTTGATTTTATTAGTGAAGATTCTTTGAAGATTTGTTTCTAGTATATTACCGTTCAAGAAGCGTGTGTTTTTTGAAGTTCAAAGTTCGGTTTCAGTACTGCAATATTTCCTAAGAATGGTTGGCATATCATTTAAGGAAACATGAGATTTGATTTGATATATTTCTGTGGAAGATAGGATTTAAATCTGAACTTTAGGAAATAATATATTATGGATCTGCATTTAATAATATATTATTTTCTAGAATATTATGGATGTGCTATTTAATTTAGCACGATTTGCTGTTCAAGTCCATACATTTTCGAAGGCTAATTTTAAGAAGAATCTAAACCTAAAGTGCAAGGAGGGCAACCATATTTTTGTGAGAATTCTTTAGATTTTTGTTTGTTCATTGTTGTTTGTGACCATTGTCGTAACACCTTGATACTAGAGTTGGAACTGTTTTTAGTAGAATTGTAATTGTGAATCACACATAAGGTTTTAATCAAGAGTGCATTCTATTTCTTGAAGTGTGTCTTCTTCTTTACTGTTTGTTTTATCATCAGTGTAATGTGATTGAGGGGGAATGAGAAAGGTCTCTTATTTAAGAGTTTCTTAGATAGAAATTGCACAGGTAGTGATTAGGTGCGAAGATTGTAAACTGGTGGTTGTTTGCTTAAGAACTTCCTTATAAGAATAATTCTTATGGAGGCGATAACAAAAATCCCATGTACTACATCTTAATATTGACATGTTGGTGCAGTACTGAAGCTGATCTTGTTTCGCGTTTTGCAAGATTTGATTTTATAAACGAAGATTCTTTGAAGATTTGATTCTAGTATATTACAGTCCAAGAAGCGTGCGTTTTTAGAAGTTCAAAGTTTGATTCCAGCTGTGCAATATTTCCTAAGAATGGTTGACATATCATTTAAGGAAACATGAGATTTGATTTGATTTCTTTATGTAGAAGATTTAATTTGGATATGAACTTTAGAAAATAATATATTATGGATCTGTATTTAATAATATATTATTTTCTAGAATATTATAGATGTGCTATTTAATTTAGTCTGATTTGCTCCCTAAGTCCATACGTTCTCGAAGGCTATTTATAAGAAGAATTTAAATCTAAATTGCAAGGAGGGCAGCCGTATTTTTGTGAGAGTTCTTTAGGTTTTTGTTTGTTCATTATTGTTTGTGAGCCACTATTGTATCACCTTGATATTAGAGCTGAACTGTTTTTAGTAGAGTTGTAATTGAGAATCACTCATAAGGTTTTAAGCAAGAGTGCATTCAATTTCTTGAAGTGTGTCTTCTTATTTGACTGTTTGTTTTATCATTATTGTAGTGTGATTGAGGGGGAGTGAGAGGGGTCTCTTATTTAAGAGTGTCTTAGATAGGAATTGCGCAGATAGTGATTAGGTGCGAAGAGTTTAAACTGGAGGTTGTTTACTTAAGAGCTTCAAACTAATACTATTATAATAGATTTCCTTCTTGCCTTGGTAGTCCCAAGATATAGGTGACGTTGCACCGAAATGGATTAAGAACTTCCTTGTATTATTTACTTCCTACAATTCTGTTTAATTTGTTCATTGTTATTTCTGCTATCACGACGTATTGCATTTGATATTCTGGTGTCGTGATATCATATACGACATTTGTCCACTATGTGCCAGAATTTCATAAACTAAAAATTAATAAAATAAATTATAAATTCGTGATAAAAAATTATTATAAAACAGATCTTTCATTGTTATATAAATTTATAAATTATAAGTTATAAATTCTAAAAATGTGTTGCGAAATACAATTTAAGTCTCTCAAACAATATCATAAAATTTATGAGAATAAATAAGCTCAAATTGATGAGTTTTCTTAAGGAAATTTTTTTATATATTTTTTGGCAAAATAACCTTTTTGGTCCTTTAACTTTAGCTCGGGGTCCACTTTGGTCCCTTATCTTTAAAAAGTGTCAAGTTGGTCCCTTAACTTTTAAAATGGTGTCATTTTAGTCCACACCGTCAGTTGCCCCCAAACGTCCGTTTGTTTTGTATAGCTGGCAGCTGAGATGACAATCTTGTTCATGATGTGTCTGCGTTCTTTCTCCTCCTTCTGTTGAAATCCCTAATCCCAAATCCCAAATCCCAAATCACGAATCCGTTAATTAATCTAGGGCAAGCATGAAATCTGAATGTTCCTCTTCCATGTCAAAAACGAAAAGTCGGGATTCAGATGTTTGTAGTCGGTCACGATGGAAGCCCATGTGCCATTATGGAGACATGGTTGTTCTTCAAAGGGAAACTACTGTTAAGAATATGGGAAAACATTTTTGGGGTTGTCCAAATTATAAGGTATGCAAGCTGGTTTTGTTCTCTGTTGAAGTTATGGTTTTGTTCTCTGTGTAAAGTTGTGGTTTTAGTGTATATACCCCCACGGGTATATAGTGTAAATTTCTGTTTCTGTTTTTTGATGTTTCTGTTTATTATTCATCATCCTCTAAACAATGAATCTTACAGGGAGGTATGCAAGCTGGTTGTGGCTTCTTTGATTGGTTTTATGAGGAGGTGGGTGATGAGAATGAGCAATTTTGGATGCATAGGCTAAGTGTGGTAACTAAGGGACTTGCTGAAGCAAAAAAGGACATTGAAAAGGAAACAATGGAGAATGAAGAATTAGGGAAAAAGCTAATGAAACTTGAAAGTGAAATGAAGAATATCATGAAGTGGAAAAAGATTTTGAATTTGATGTTTGTGATGATTATCATTGTATTAGTTGTTAGGGTTAGTTAGGTTATTACGGTTTGTTTGGAAGTATTATGTTTAGTCAAAGTGTTTTTATGTTTGATATATAACAGTTTTGGTCTGTCAATGTGTTTTCTCTGTTTGGTATATAACAGTTTGGATTGTATTTGGTATAAAACAATTTGGTATATAACATCAGCATACATAAAGCAGCATACATATAACAGTTTGGATTGCTTTTAGGTTCTGCTTTTAGGTTAAAGTGTTTTACCCAGTTTTTGTTATACATATAACAATTTTGGTTATACATAAAGCAGCATACATATAACAGTTTGAACAATGTGTTTTATCCAGTTTGGACTGCTTTTAGCATAACAGTTTTGGTATATATTTCATAATACCTATTTGGTATATAGCAGCATAACAACAGTAAAATACAACATGTTCATGACAACCTATTTGGTATATAGCAGCATAACAACAGTAAAATACAACATGTTCATGACAGCCTATTTGGTATATAGCAGCATAACAACAGTAAAATACAACATGTTCATGACAACCTATTTGGTATATAGCAGCATAACAACATAACAGCCTATTTGGTTCATTTCATAAACCTGTAATACTTTCCAAAACAACATGTTCATGACAACGGTAAAATACAACAATTGTAGAACTTGTTCATGACAACAGTAGAGTACACCATGTTCAAATTATAAACTTGTTCATGACAACAGTAGATGTGGAATCAAGATTCAAAGCCTTCTATGTTTTGATGAAGATAACTCATACAAGTTTGACGAGCAAGATACTTTCACTATATACCCGTGGGGGTATATGCTTATTGAAGTTGCTTACACTATATACCCGTGGGGGTATATACACTGAAGATAAAATCAGTGTTCATTACAACAACAGTAGAATGTAATAGACTATGTTCAAATTATAAAGTTGTTCAAATTATAAACTTGTTCAAATTATAACACATAAACTTGTTCATTACAACAACAGTAGAATGTAATAGACTTGTTCCAAAATGACAGCAATACAATACATAAACTTGTTCTAGGTAACTAAACATGTTCCACAACTTAGAGTTTCTTCTTTGGCGTGGTCCTCTTTGTTGGAGTAGACCACCTTGTTACTGGGCCAACAACATTTTTCGCAGCACTCAACCTAGTTGTAGGACCAGGTGGCACAAAAGGTCTTGTTGGCTTCCTTACAGACAACTTTTGTGTCTTGCTTGGCTGAGATGCTTGGCAAGATTGCTGAGTAGGCTGAGTTGTTGAATTAGGAGTTTGTTGGCTAGTTTGTTGAGCAGTATGAGTTGGAGTCTGAGTTGGAATATGATTGAGTTGGGCTGATTGTTGGCTAGGTTGTTGAGCAGTATGAGTTAGAGTCTGAGTTGGAGTATGATTGAGTTGGAGTCTGCAATAACATACAGTGTAGCATTACAATATAGCATAACAGGAATAGCATAACATAAACACATAAAACCATAGGAATAGCATAACATTATTAACCATTGGTTTATTTTTCACCATCATAAATGAAAATTGGAATATAATAGTTTAGGATAAGAGTACATATTATCAATTATATGGCACAATTAGAGGGAGAGCAATTAAAAAGGAAAATCAGTAGTACGACGAGATCACGTTTGGAACAGAGTTGAGAGAAAATTGCAGCTAAGGAACTAACGTGATTTCACAAATATGAAGCTATTGGCATATCTTAAATCATCTATAACTCAAATTTGCTTTTGTGAATCAAATGTTACATGGCTTAATTAACTAAAAATAACATTTTGGCATATGGCAATCAAAGTAATTCAGAGCAGACATTCTGTCCTGCTGGATTTAACAAGTCATTAACTACCTAAAAGGTAGTTTTGAAAATAACAGTGAGAAGAACAAAGTGGTGTTAATCAAACTTATTTTCGTGTCTGTATAAGACAAAATCAACATGAACATAGCATCACATTAATATTTAGTACTTATAATTTTTAAAACTACACAAGATGAGATTAAACTGATAACTCACCTCATTCTCACTTTTGCCTTTTGGATCAAAATCACTTCCACTGGCTGCTCCTTCTTCCTTTTCACCTGTTGGGTCTGAGACATATCATCCATTGATGCCTCTGTGCTTGCTGAATCAAATTCATATCATCCATTGTAGAATTCATCCCTAATCTAGTGGTTTGCTGCAACATTCAGCATCACAACACAACCCTCTCCACAAATCTAAAATTATCCGCTTTCTGTCAATATCAATACAACAGTTGAACAACTTACCTCTTTTAGAGTTGGTATATAATCATAAAAAAAGAGTTAACAAAATAGTGGCAAAGGGGGAAAAAACTGTTCCCGAGTGACAAACTATGAAGCATGAACACAGACACCAAATATGACACCAACACCGACACATGTAACATCTGATAGGCCATCAATCTGAAGTATCAGTGCTATATAGGTGAAAACTGTTAAGACAACTCAGCTTCATAGAATTGCATAGCTTAATTCATAGACTAATTTCCAACCATACAAGAAATAAAACCAACCTATCTCACTAGTATGAAGTCAAAACAGTAGCATTGTCAAAGCCAATTTTCATCCATTCAAAACCACAACAAACAAAAGTCCCAAACACAAATATAATTCCAGTGAGTATCCAATTCAATTCACAATTATCTACACCAAAAGACACAACAAAACATCATTATTTTCAGCAAATAAGTAATTGAGGAAAAAAAGTTCAGTTTTTCCCTATGACCCACAAATAATAATCAAATTTACACAACACCCAGAAGGTTAATTTCATCCAGAGCTCAAATACCTTGAAAATTCGAAAGAAATTGATAAACTTGAAAACGAGATTTTTGAGCATCTTTTTCTTCTACAAATATATAATACCGGAGAGTGTTCTCGTTGGAAAGAGAGATCAAAGAAGGGAAATTTTAAGGCGTTATTAAAGGAAAAAGAAGGAAAATTGGATGTGAATTGGAGAGGTTAAAGTTTGTGTGTGGAACAAAACAAGGGGACAAGGTTTGTGATTTCAATAATGTTCTGGGTGATGGAAAGTTAGTCTGAGTTGTTCTTCTAAGATCCACGTCAGCAGCGCCACCTAGACAAACGTGGCAAGTTTTCAAAGTCTGACTAACGGGGAACAGACGGAAGGATAAATGTGACATCAATTTAAAAGTTAAAGGACCAACTTGTCACTTTTTAAAGATAAAGGACCAAAATGGACACCGAGCAAAAGTTAAGGGACGAAAAAGATTATTTTGCCATATTTTTTTTTATAAATATCTTCAACTATAGTCTCATTTCTTTTTCTAATTGTTTCATCGTAGAGTTTTGAATAAATAGGAGGTCTTACATGTAAGAGCACAGATTGTGTCTTAGTTATATCTCTATGTTTTGATGATAACAATTATGAATTTTGTATTCAAGAATTATATACTCTAAACATGTTCTAGATTGTTTGCTACAGGCACTAAAGTAAATTATCTTAAGAAAGCAAAATTGCATCTGAACATTGTTTGTATGAAAGACTTCATAAGTTCAAGAGCATCTTAAGTGAAGATCTGAACTTTGCTCCCAGAAGAATCTGACTACTGTCTCTTGAAGATTCTGAAGAAGGAGCCTCTAAAGCATAGAAGACTCTGCTCTGAAGGATTTACACGCTCAAGCACACAAGCTGCACATACTCTGATTCAGCTCAATCTGAAGAACTTTCAAGACTCTGAAGATCCAGATGATCCGTGATCAGAAGACTCTGAAGATTCAGATTCTTATGTTGAAAGCTGAACTCACATTGAAGAAGATTTAAATATGTACGTTGGTCTTTCTCAACAGCTCTTTCCTATTTTGTGCTAGACACAAGGACACAGACAAAAAGGTTTTATCTGTGCATTCCATTCTGAGGAAAGTATTCTGCAAGTGGAGACAAAAAGCATCAGGCCTGTTTCAGCACAGCCTCCAATGTGAAGACAAAAGGCTCTAGGCTTTTCTGCACAGCCTTCAACGTAACAAGACTTCTTGGATCTTAGTGCCTATATAAAGAAGTCCACTCCATCTTCTTCAGTATCGAATCTCTAGAAAAATCACTCCTCAAAGCAAATCTCAAAAAGCTCTTAATCATATTACTTTGCTTTATCTTTATTCTTAAACTAAGAGAAATATCACTGTTGTGATTACAGCCTAATAGAAGCATTCTTACTCTTGTAAAAGTTTTACTTTGTTTGTAAAAGGTTTTCCTTAAGAGGATCCAGTTGGGATCAGCTGCTCTTGAGAAGACTAAGAACGGTTGTTCTTAGGTGTTGCTATTTGTAATCTGTTTGATTAAAATAGTGGATTAAGTCCTTGACAGAGAAAGGCAAATCACTCTTGAGAGGGTGGACTGGACTAGTTGTTTTCAACGAACCAGGATAAAAATATTTGTGTTCTAATCTTTGATTTTTAGTCTTACTTATTCAACCCCCCCTTCTAAGTAATTTTCTCACCTTCAGTTGGCATCAGAGCTCCGGTTCTGCGTGTGCTCCACTTAACCGTGACAGTTAAAGATCCAGTGAGAAAGATACTTTGATATTTGTGTTGTTGTCTTTATGGAAACAGCTACATCAACTTGCAACAACAAATATGAAGGAGATAGGATCAGTACCAAGCCACCCATGTTTGATGGGGAAAAATTTGACTATTGGAAAGATAGAATAGAAAGTTTTTTCCTCGGGTATGATGCTGATCTTTGGGATATGGTCATTGATGGATATAAACATCCTACTGATGAGGATGGCAAAAAGATTGATAGAAAGTCAATGACTGAAGTACAGAAAAGAGATTTCAAGAATCACCACAAAGCCAGAACTATATTGCTTAATGCAATCTCTCATACTGAGTATGAGAAGATTACAAACAGAGATACTGCTCATGACATGTTTGAGTCACTCAAAATGACTCATGAGGGAAATTCTCAGGTTAAAGAGACCAAGGCGCTGGCGCTCATACAGAAGTATGAGGCATTTAAAATGGAAGAGTCTGAAA